AGGGGGTGTGCCTGCCACTCAGAAGGCAGAGGAAGAAAGGTGCTGGATTCAGCCCCGAGGCTGGGCCACCTCGAAGAGGAAGTGAACGAGGAAGAGGAAGACAGAGAGAGGAGGAAGAGGACGACGATGCTGGTTAGGACTGGGCCCTGCAGCACAGATGGAGGAAGGCCTGGCGTGCAGATGCAGGAGGGAGGCTCCCGTGAGAAGTTCACCGGCTGGCGAAGAACAGAGAGCAGAGGCCCAGCAGAAGCGTGCCCCAGGCCTGTGGCGGGCCTTGTGGTACACGGGGTCGTGTGCCCGGCAGACGTGCACCCCAGGCGTGTGTGAAGGGCCTTGAGGGACACAGGGTCGAGTACCGACAAGCATGAGAAGGGTCATGAGGTACGTGGGGTCACGTGCTAACCAGCCCTGCCAGGCCCCACCCCGGCCCGGAGCTCACCCGCTTCCTGGGGAACGCCCTCTTCTCACTGCGGCCCTGGCGGGTGTCGCTCGATGGCGAGGGCCCGGCTGACCCATTGGTCTCCATGTGCTCTGCCTTCTCAATGTCTAAGGCCTCGAATTTCTCAATGACCTGGGACCTCCTGCAAGAGAGGACACAAGGCTGCTGGGGCAGGGGTGGGCTGGGCCAAGGAGAGGGGGGCTCCTCCAGGTGACACCCCGAGCTGGGCCCATGCCGCCAGGCACCTACGCCAGCCTCCTCCCACCGCCCCCAGGAGTGCAGTGTCACACAGCACTGAGTGTGCTCCTGGGCAGGACCCTCAGTACCCACACCCCGCGCCGAGGCCCCGCAGGCTGGGTGGTGCTGACCTGCTCAGCACCCACACAACTCGGCACCCGGCGGCCTCAGACATGACCAGAGGGAGCCACCACCTTGGAGGGGACGGCCCTTCTCAGGGCATTCCTCCTCGATCAACGCAGCCCCCGCCCCGGGGGCACCCTCAGTTAGCAAGAGAGAATTAACACCGTTTCTGCCGACAGTAAAAGGAATCAAAACCAAATTAAAACAAAACAAAGCAAGTTGATTTCATGTGAGAGGGCTGGCGGCCTCGTCAGATGTCTCCGCCGGAGACGGAGCTGAGATGGGAGCGAAGCGGGTGGAGGAGGGCGCGAACGCCACACAGCGACACAGCAGGAGAAGGCGGAGAGGGCAAGACCTGAAAGAAAACACGCTGGAAAATGAATACACAGAAAAGAACCGCTTTTAAAATCAAATAATGGTAAACCAAAATTATCCAAAGAATTAAAGCAAAAACCCAAGGTGATCGCTTAAGAGTGAGAAAAACCATGATCGTCCCTGTCATGAGGTTGCCAGAGGCAAAGGGTCAGAGGCAAGGAGGCTGCGTGAGGGGTCTCCCTGGCAGAGGCTAATCCCTCATTTAGGGGATAGGGGCCTTCACACCACAGGGCTTGGGACCCGGGGTCTGTCCCGGGGAGGAGTCTGGCGGGGAGGTTCAGCGAGCTCTGCTCAGTGGGCTCCCTCCTGTACGAGCCACACCGAGAAGGTGGACTCTAACCCTGACACACCAGGCCCGTCCTTAAGGGGTTAGCTTTGTCTCAGGGAGAAATAGATTGATCTCCTGGGGACAGGGCCAGGTACTCGTCCTACAGCTGGATCCACATGGAAAAGGTTCTAGGTTCAAGTCCTGGGCCCTCCCCTGAGCAACCTGGCACACACCTGCCATGACTGGGGCTAGCCCCGACGGGATGAATCGAGGTGTGAGGACCCTACCAGTATCCCTGTCTGTGCCAGGCCAGCCTGCCGGAAGCAGCGGGAGGTGGGTGGCTGAGGGGAGCAGGAGAGGCCTGGGCATTGTGAGAGCAGAAAGCTGAAGAAGCTGCCAGAGTTAACCAGCACCAAGGGAAAGCTACGGAAGGTGCAGGCAGCACTGGCCATGCCCGGATTGCCGCGGCGAGGTCTGGGGAGATTCCAGGCCCGTGGACAGGCCACGACACTGTCACTTCTGGCCCGAGAGCCCCGCCCCTGAACCAGGGCCTGGCAAGCCCCAGGAAAGCAGGAAGGGGCCATGCAGGGCCTGATCTGCACGCGGTGGGACGCTGTCAGAGGCGGGCACAGAGGGAGGAGGCACTGCCGCAGCGGCGTGGCCAGGAGCTTCTGCAGGGTGGGGCTGCCTGCTGACGCTGGGGGATGCCCTGGCCTGGTGCCCTCAGAAGTGAGTCTGACAGGGAACCAGCAGTTAGCGTAATGGCTATGTCGCTGGATTCCCACGTAGTCGACCGCGGTTCGTGTCCCGGACCCAGTGGCTTAAAACTCACGCCGGGTGCGTGTGCGTGCGTGCCCAAGATCCCGAGAGGAGAATGGAGGAGAAGGGATTGCGGCGTGGCCATCCCCCCTGGGGGGTGATTTCTCGCTTTCTGTCTCTCTCTGTCTGTCTGGCGAGCGCACGCGCCCTATAGCAAAAACCTCTCAAAAAAAAAAAAAAAAGAAGTGAGTCTGACAGGAAACGCTTCCCTTGGTCAGCCCGGGAGATGGGGGCTGCCCAGCAGTGCCCAGGCAGGTGGTCAGGACTGCGCGGGGAGCTGGCCCCACGGTCAGCTTCCAGCAGTGCAATGAGAACGTGGCTCCCCACGCTGGGCAGCCAGAGGCCATTCCCCCAGGCTCGTCTCTGGCGCTCCAGAACGCTGACGAGCAGACCTACCACATTCCCCCAGATCGGGAAGTCCTATTCTAACCTAACAGGGGCCAGGACTCCAACCAACCCTGGGTGGGCCCCAGTGAGCAGGCCTCGGAGAGCAGCACAGCCAGACAGAGGGCAGCGAGGCAGTGAGGGGACAGGTCGGGGTGCAGAGCTGGGGCACAGGGGCCCACACCGGCAGAAAGCCCAGCCCCACAGTGGCAAAGAGCATGCGGACAGCAGAGCCCCGGCCAGCAGGCGAGTGAGCTCGTCGCAGGCCCCCTCACGAGCCCGGCCGAGCAGGGGTGCTGCACCAGGACATGCTGAGCCCTCCAGGGCCACCACGGCACACAGCCTGCCCACCGGCCAGCGTGAAGCCCCAGCCTCCCGGCCGCTGTCGACGCCCTTGCCCTTCCTCTGTACTAACTGCTTCAACAGTTAACACCCATGAGCCAGTCCTGTCACACCTGGGAGCAGGGCCGTCCAGCTAAGGGCCCTCGGGGACCTGCACCAGCTCTTCACTGTGGCCACCCTCCTTCCGAGCCTGCCTTCTAATTTCTAAGCTGCGGAGGGGGTACCAGCAGGCACCTCACTGGCTACTAAGAAGTGAAGATGACCGGGGGCCGGCCAGGCGCTGGGCAACACTCGGCCCCCCGCTCACCTGAGGAGACAACCTACTGGCCTGTTTTAAGCGTGGCCACCCAGGTGACTTCTCCATCCCAGAGGTGGCCTCTGGCCCTGTGACCTTTCCATCTCAGAAATGTGGGTTGCTGGCTGCTGGTGGGTGTCAGAAAGGGGGGCAGGAGGTGACCATGCCCCTCGAGGGGTGGGGAGCCCCTGGAGGCCTCTGCCGTCCCTGACAACAGCTCTGACTGAGCTTTGGGCTCTGGTGGGCAGTAAGGATGCTCTGTGGAGGTGCCCTGACCACGGGCCTGCACTTCCCCTCTGGACAGTGTGAGCTTCTGCCCAGAAAGACGTACATATATGCTGTCAAGGTGTTTGGGGTGGCTGTAGACTTCGAGAGGTCTTAGCTGTGGACCAGGGTGTGGACCCCCCGTTGAGGCAGGGCCTGCGGTGCAGATGCAGGGTGGAAACTCCATCTGAGCCACACCACAGCACTGTCCCAGCTCCCCAGGGAACTCCCAGACAGCGGGACCTTCCTCCTCTCAGACAGCAGCCGAGCTCTACGCCTGTCGCCAGGCTCCTCTCGAGGCCTGCCAGGTAAACCCTGCGTCCCCCAGGAAGCTGGGGCTGGGGGCCAGGCCCAGTCAGTCAAGCCTGGAGGCAGTGCCACTGCACGGGCTCTCCAGGTATCCCGTGGCTCTGCGGAGTGTCCCGGGGAGGAAGCAGTGCTGCCCCACCTGCTCTTCCCTCCAAGCCACAGTGGCACAGGGGTCACCACCTGCAGCCCTGGGGGCATCCTGCCTCCAGTCATCTCAGAGAGCAGAAGGGCTCAGGCAGGGAAGAGCCGGCAACAGCCCTAGCACCTGGGGGAAGCGGCTGGCCCTGGGTGCTCGGGGGTCCTGCACTGGTGTCCAGAAGCTGGCTCTCGGGCCCCCTGCTCCCCCGGGGTGGCTCAGGGAGTGGGTGTGAGCAGGTGGGGGCACAGGCATGTGTTGGCCCTCTTGTCCCCTCCTTACCTCCGCTCGTTGCCAAACAGCCGGGCCACCTCCTCCCTGCCAGGGCTGCGAGCCCGGGTCCTATGCTCCAGCCGCCTTCTCTCCACCTGGAAGGCTTCTCGGTGGCTGATCCTGATGGCCTTGGGGACGTCGGCCAGGGCGGCATACTGCCTGCTGGCTTTAAAGGCAAAGGCGCTCCCCAGTCCGTCTGTCCCCCGCCCCCCAGCGCTGCCAGAGTCCGTGTGGGCAGGGGGCCGGCCAGCCACGTCCAGGGTGCCAAGGGAGATGCTGCAGACCGTTCGGCTGGGGGTTCGAGCACCTGGGGAGTGAAGGGGTCGGCCCAGCTCCTGGAAGGGCGAGTCGGGACAACTGTACCTGTTGTTGGGGGTGCTGGGGCTGGGAGGGGAGAGCGGCGGGGGCAGCTGCTGCTCCTCGGCCTTCAGGTCCTGCTTGGTCTTCTCCAGGGAGAAGTAGCCGCTCTCTACCCGCACTTTGCGGCCACAGTCCATGCGCTCGCCACTCACGGCGCTCTCCTCTGGAAGACAGGGATGCACGCTTAGCCTGGGGCCAGCTCTGGTCCGACGCCCACGCGGGATCCCCATGTTTGTCCAGCATCCAGCATGGCCACCCGAGGGCAGCAGAAGGAGACGGCAGGGAGCGAAGTGCCCTGCCCAGACTGCTGCTCCCACTCCACCCTGACAGGGCTGCCCTCGGGCCTGAGCTTCTGGGTGGGGCTCGGCTGGGGGGCAGGACTGGTGAAGATGCCCCACCTATGAAGCCTCTTACTGAACATCAGAGGAGCCAACAGCCACGTAGCCCCAGGCCCGAGCACAGGTTTGGAGAGGGCAAGGCCGAGTCTGCAGGAGTGAGGCAGGGGAGTATGCAGGGTGTGTGCTACTTAGTGGACAGCTCCACCGGGAGCACTTGAGTCATTAATAGTCGGGACCAAACACGAACGGCAAGAGCCTGCGTGTCTCACCGAGGCCTGGAGGTGGAGGGGGGCAGGGACACCTGGGTCCTGCTCTGGCAGCGCTGTGTGCCACGTGGGGAGTCAGTGAGACCAAGTATATCCCCCCTGGCACGCTGGTCCCCACTTGAGCGCTGGGCAAAACAGGGGAGGAGGCGGTGCCCCTGCTCCTCCCAGGATCGGAAACAACGCACAGCGTGGAGCCCTGGGGAAAAACAGCCGACTCCTCCAGGCCCAGCTGCAGGGCTTCCGGTCCTCCACCCTCCCCAGGCAGGAGCTGCCCATGGGGCTGAGGGATAAGGGGAACCGGGGCTCAAGCCAGCCTGCCCGCTTACCTTCCGTGCTCTCCAGCCCAGGCTCTCTCAGGGAGCTGGCGACAGGGGGCTGGCTCTGGCTGGGGCTCTGAGCTGGACTCGGGCTGCCCCCGTCTGGCTGGTCCTTGGCCCTCATCTCTTCCTGCCAGAGTGTGGACTTGGTGGTGGGGACTTTCTCGGCGCTGGGGATGCTGCTGCTGCTGCTGCTGGGGACAGCCACCTTGGCAGGGCCAGCGCC